CTTTCGGGCATCAGGGCAGCATCATAGCTGCCTTCCAGTAGTCCGCCATGGCCTATGTTTGAGAGAAGACGTTGAAGGAGGGAAGACATAGCCATGGTGGACTTGTTGTTGTTGTTGTTGTTGTGAGTTGAGTCAGCAGTAAGGGGGAACTTYGGACATTGATTCTGGTTCATCCATTCATTGTTATTATTATTATTGAGAGAAGAATAAGATTGGTGAAGAGAAGGAAGAAGGAGGAAGGTGGAGAGAGAAGGGCGAATTGTCATTGGTCTTGCTGGTGTACTTCTTCTTCTTCTTCTTCTTATTATTATTATTATTATTATTATTATTATTATTATTATTATTATTCCTTACCTCTCCTCTGGTCTTTATCTCTTTGCAAGTGCTTTCATTTCTTTCGCAATGGGGTAGCATTGTCTTTCATTGTGAATTTGCACTTGGGAAATGACCAGGATAGTAACAAAAGAAAAAAGTAAGGAAAAAAAAGTGTTATAGCTCTATGATGAAAGGCAAAGAATAGAAATGCAAATGGGAAGACAAAAATGCACAACTACAGGAACAGAACGAACAGGGAGAGAGTTGCAGAATCTGCAGATATATTATAGTAGTCATTCACTTCCAATCATCATCACATTTCCACAATTGATTGAAGTGAATCACACAATCAAGAAAACACGAATTGAACATTCACACCAAAACAGTTGATGAAGCCAAGCGAAACATATATGAAACTGAGTACCCTGCTACCCTAAGCAGAGTGCAACAAATGGCTTGAAAAACGGACCGACCAGTGTACACCGAGATTTCACAGGCTATAGCTGCGCCCAAACCTCCCTCTCCCCTCCAGCGCCAAATTTAGCACACCTCCGGTTTCACCAAACAGCAAAAAGAAAAATTTGACAAATGAAAAGCTAAATTTGCCTTGTTGTTACCTGCTCCACTTTTGACGAGCTGCATCCCACCCTACGCGTACCCGGTCTGTCTGAGGGAAAATCTAAAGATCCTACCAGTCTGAAAAGGCCTATATTAGGCTAGGCCTGCAGAGACTTCACAATCAGGTGCTGGATTCATAACTCGGCAAGAAGAAAACAGCAAACAATCGAAAAACAGCAAATCCTTTGGGCGCTTGCGGGTTCAAATCGAGCAGCCCCAACAGGAAGGCAGAAGCGAAATGAGCTAGGGATGAGGTAAAGGATAATGGAAGTGAAAAGAATATTGACAGTAAGAAAGTACAGAACTGAATCCTGGCCATTTGCAGAAGCATGGACGATTTTATTTTTATTTTTTATTTTTCTAAAGCTATGTTCTTCTCCCAATTTCACCTCACTCTACCTACCTACCACTACTCCTAATTGTAGGCATACGGGGAACCCCGTAGCAGCCAGAACCGTGTTCATGAGAACATGCGGGGGCTGCTCCCCACCTGCAGGTGGGCGATACCAGCTAGGGGACAGCCGGTAGCATCAGGGACAATAGCAACAGGACCAATCCCTGTGCCTCCCCTCAGGTCCCCTCCCCTACGAACATCAGCAGACTCTGCTCAATGCCGGTCGGGGGATCCAGTGGTCTATCTCTAGGTGGCAGGCGCCAAGCATGCCCAGGAAGGTACATAAGCGACAAAAAGGCTGTTTTTTTTTTTTTTTAGCGGGTGACACAGTACCTACCATTTTTTTTGGGGCAAGTACGTTTATATCACCTTTTGGTTTCGAAAGGGCAAAAAAAACACGAATGGGCAACGAAAAAATGGCTGTAGTTCGAAAAGGCAGAAATAACAGCAAAAGGCGGTAACATCAGGCCCCGAGTTCGAAAAGGCATAAATACCGCATTTTGCAGGCTTTTTTTAAGTTCTTTTTTTTTTTTTTTTTTTCCG